AATCCTTAAATGAAAATGATCTTTCACAAGATCCCCTCCGCTTTTCGATCATAGATCGTAAACGACATCAAGACGAATTGTCACCATTGCGTAATCCATCGTAATACGCCTATGCACTTAACATGTTTGAAGGGAATACTTTTAGCAAACATTAGGAAATTACCGTACATACATACGTATATATTTTATGTCGCAAATCCGAGAGAGAGCATCTTAGGGAATTGGTTAATAAATAATGCTTGCAGATTACTTCTCTCTGAGAGACGCATAAATATTTCTGATATTCTCGTTCGAAGACGTTAAGATTACCTCATTATGAAGTCGTTTGAAATCCATACGTTTCCCATCCATGTTGAAAGGAAGTGAAGCCGTAAAAAAATAAGCAGGAAATATATGTCACATCGGAAAGAGCTAGCTCGGAATTTCCAATCTCGCGAGATAATTGACGACGTGGTACGTTACATGTGGGCAATAGCGAACGCGATTTTTAACAATTTCAGCGTTTTAACGATCGCGATGTTCGTGATCGTAGCATTCTGTAAAGTGTCCGGTTAGAACCGGTGTCCGGTTTCTTTTATACTAGAATCGATTCCTCTTGTTGTCTGTTTTTAAATCTGTACGACATGCTTTTGCTGCAGCAATCGATACGGTCTGACGAACGAGGACCTGAACCGACGCTGGAGCAATCCCAATCGAATGTATCATCCGGTGATCTATCACACGAAAGGCCTGATGGAGTACTGCGCCAGGGTGCTGCAGAGACCGCCTCACGTTTTCGTCGACTATCACGGCCATTCGCGGAGGAAGAACGTGTTTCTGTTCGGTTGTTCAAGGTCGGGTTCCTGGAGCGCCGCGGACAGGGCGAAACCGGACCAGCCGGTGCAGTATTTGGTAAGGGAATCAACGGAAGGGAATCGAGGCTAGATAATATTTTTAGATCTCGCGCGGCATCATTTATCCTACGTTTACCTGCCACCGGGCCAGCCCGGCGAACGTTTATCACTTTGAACGACCGTCTATTCAATGTGAACTTTCGATTTGCACGAGCAATTACTCGCCGACAGCCGCCTATTCATTTTGCGCGTTGCTCTGCCACATTAATGTCATTAGTTAGAGCGTTACACTGAGAAAGTGCTCCGAGAAAGTATTTCTCTTCTTGGACTATGAAACCTTGATTCTCATTAGAACCTCCAAATGCGATCTCCTAATCTTTGTGACTCTCTTTCTGTATCAGATGTTACCGCATCTCATGCAGAGGACATCACCAGCTTTCGCATTGCCACTTTGCTCCTTCAAGGTCGAAAGGAACAAGGAATCCACCGCCAGGGTCGCTATATGGAGGCAGTTGGGTGTTCCGAGGTAAACGACGGCTATATCCTGAGCAGATTGAGATCTGGCTCGCAATAAGATTTTTTTTTTGTGTAGTAAGGTTGAGATTGTCTTGTAAAAAAATCTGTTCTAAATTATACGATTTATATTTAATATTAACATTAACTTGGTGAAACGTTTTCTTTTGTATTTATATTTATAAAAGTCAATATTACTGATATTGCGACGTTGTGATTGAAAAAAATGTCACTATGTCTCGTCTAACGTTTTATTCAAATAGAAGTTACACGATGGAAAGCAGTTTTTGTGGATGCGATCAAGGCGTATTGGCGGGATTACATCTCGACACAGAGGATCTCAAAGCCATTGGAAGAGATTTCTGCCAAGCTTTATCGATGATGAAGGATGACGGTGACGATTGGGCCATCGGAAAGTACGTGCAAATTTGTTGTTATTAATTCATTGTTACGGTATAAATCGATTTAAATATAAATTTATTGAAATACATTTGATTGAGAACATTTATATATTAAAAAAGAAAACTTGCAAAATATTTAAAAGGAAATATATATATATATATATGTGTATGTACTTCCAGGGACTGTATTTAATTGGTAAAATTATTTTCTAAGATCTTTTTTGAAAAGAATAATTTTTCTAAATTTTAACTTTCTACGAGCTAAAATAAAAGGTTTTACAGAGAATGATATATTCAATATAGATCAACAGAGCAAGCCTGTTGTCCGAGAATGTGTGTTTTACGAAAATCACGGAAGATACCGAAATGTATTCAAGATAAACATGCTATACATCATACCACAGCGTTTTCTTAGCAAATGAGATAAATAAACAATTGTATTATAAGGCAAGATTTGTGTGTGACCATTCGTGTGTGAGCATTGTTAACTTAATGCTTTCGCTATAAATTGTTCTGTATCAACATATGATGTCTTTTCCGTTATCAATCAAACTAACAATGTTTCTGTAAACTAACACTAATAGCTAGTAAGTGAAAAGAGCTATCGTTTAATTTATACATCCATTACTCTTGAAGTTAATCGACAATTCACTTATTATTCAATATGTTTCTTGTTAATTATGCCTGTTACTCTTTTTAGAATTCCTGTGGAGAAACATATTCCCGTGGAATCAGGATGCATGGACGACGACATATCTTCCAGTAGTGAATCCAATGATTCCGATTTTGAGACTTAAGGAACTGCACCTCAGTCAAATATCAGAACAGTTATCTTAACAACAAAATTTATTGCAAATATTTACTCTCATGCACTTATAAAGTTAAAATTTAATACAAAAATTATTTCTATTCTGAATAAAATAATATAGTATAGTACAAAACAATAGTTCACGAAAAGAAATATTTCACAAACAATATTTATTTAAAACTCGTAACAAACATTTAAAGCTATTCTCTATGAAAATACTATCTACATATTATAAAGTCTATTTATACATATCTTGGACATCAATATTTCATAAATTATGTTCCATAGTAAACAAGATCATGTTTGTTATAGATTATTTAATATATGATTTAATATACTATTTAAGTATGGCCACATATGATTATTCAATTTCAAAATAAAATTCTTGTGAAAGTTGAAATTATATCATCATAAAATCATCATCTAAGATCTAAACAGTAATAAAACAATGACCTCTAGAAAGCTTTACACTTTTGGGAAATTTGAATCGTCTCTTGAAAGGCAAAACAGATTTAGATAATACCAAAATAAAATAGGGAACTGTATCATTCCCTGACACGGTACCTCGCTCTATACTTTGTACACATAATTATATAAATATAGAGGAAATAAATGTTAATGAGTTGTAATTCTCTGTAAATTTATAAGATCTTCCTAAGACTTCCTGAAGCAATTATTTGTGTTCCACGGATTTTTGACAAGATTTTTATTTGCGTATCGATATAACGCTAATTGCAAATTTGTAATTTTCGGCTATTATTACGTTGTGCTTTTTAATATAGGTATTTCTAGTATAATATACATGCCGTGACATATACTGCACAATAATCCGAACGATAATTAATGGAGAAATTTAGAAAATTAATAAGATGATTTATAATAATGTGCGGATCAATACATAATGCGTTGAATGATGCCAGAATAAATGATTATTTATATTACATAATACTACAATATTGTAGTAATTAAATATAAATATAACATCGCAATGTTTAATACTAATATATTAATATTAGTGTTTAAATTCTGATAAGAAACAATTTATCCGACATTTTATAATTAACTTTATACTGCAGAATTTATGAGAATATTCTCAAATAGCACAGCATCTACAAAGCGTTAAAAAGCGTTTATATATTTTTTTTAGCGCTTTACAGGTGCTGTTACTTGTTGCTTGTATTACTATTTAACGGAATTATTTCTTTAATACTGCAAACAAATTTTTAGAAAAATGTAATTCTTGATAGAAATATGTTGTATTCAATTAAACATAATCAGTCATGTACTTGTGCGTACACTATACTTATACATATTATTTTAAGATCAAATAGTTTTTGTCATCGAAATTCGACGATACGGATATATCGTGCGAATTGTATCTCAAATCATATCATCATTCTATGAGAGTTGACAATTATTGTATTTCATTATAAATAACAAATATTTCTATAATATATAATTTTTTCTATAATAGAGGTTCTTCAAATATTCCTCGCAAACTAAATTATTTGTTTAATTAAATTAATACATCAAGAAAAAAATTATTCATTAAATTAAACTAATTTAATTTGTTTTTATTGATGATGAATGTATGTATTTAAATCAGACATATATTATATTTTACTTAAATACATATATTCTTTAACAAAAGAAATAAAGACAATTAAGTTAACTTTTTTCTTAATATATAGTAATATAGTTTTAAAAAAATCGTTGATTGACAATATAAATTGTGCTCTGTAGTATAAATTGTAGACTGAATCGAGATTATATTGTATGCAAAAATTACATGCTACGTTCACGAATGATCAGTTAATTAAAGTGACGCTAAAAAGAAGATTCGTTATTTTGTAATCACAGTTTCTCATGAGATTAATATAAAGAGAGATTTAAGAGATTTAAAAATATCGGAATGAATTTCGATAACATTATTGTCTGTTTGACGTGTTAACGATTTACGTAATCATTGTATAATCCATCTTAAAATAGCCTAACGCCTTATTATAAATATATAAAGCTTTCTGATGAAATTCAAATTTATTTTATACAAATTGTTAAAAAATCCTTACTGTTTTTAATGTAACATCGCATGTGTACATTTATATAAAAACTAAAGTAACTGTAGTACTGAATGAGATTGCGTGTAGCTACTCCTACTACTATTATTTCCATCGGTGCAAATAATTTTGGTTGATCTGCGATTAATCTCCTTGAATGATTCGACGATAAACATCGTGTGCGCACACTTGAATTTAGGAAAGCGGACAATAAAGAAGCAGGTAATAAGAGGATATTCATTATCATTGGCTGAAATTGCATCTTGAAATATCAAGCTTTCGGTCTATCTACGTTTGATTCATACGTTTATCTAAACGAACGCTAATATTCTACGAAAGTGAATTTCGACAAGGTAATACAAGAAGTGGATTATACCGATCTCCGTGCCGGTTCGGCAGAATAATCGGGTTTGGTAAGTAATCGAGGACTTCACTCGATGCCATGTAGCTTCTTCATGTGCAACTTCATCTGCTCATAGGTCACCCACAATACGATGTTCCAGGATACCAGACGTGAGAAACTTGGCACGAAACCTTTATAAAACGCGGTGGGACCTTCCTGGACGAAGGTCTTGATAGCGCAGTCTATCGCGCCCTTGTACTCGCCAGCGATGCTGTTCATGTAACGCGTCTTCACGACGTCCACGGGACTTGCCGCCAGGGTGGTACAGAGTCCTGCGGCGGTCGCGGCGGTCAAATGACACGGTATCCCGTCACTAAGATAACCGCTAACCAGAATGAGGTCCTTGATAATGTCGTAACAGACTATCTCCGCCACGTTCACGATAGCATTACGCGAGACATTCGGCATGGTTCCTATGTGTGACGAAATAGAGGATTACTTTCTATGATATTCAAAAAATGTCTTATCTACTGTTTGTGCAATCTTTCAAAAATTCTATAAATAATACAGGAAGATTAAAAATATTTTTACCGGAAGACTCACCTCTCCAAAGACCCTTCGCGCCTTCTCCACTAGCGATACTCTTGTATGCCTGTAGAGTGGAGCTATACCTTACCGATGATCGTCCATTATTCCCAGCCTGCATGCGGATTTTAACGACGTCAGTCGGCTGAGCGATCATCACTGCCAAAGCGCCCGTCGTGATTCCCGCGGCAACACGTACGCCAATGTTCATCGATGTACCGATCTTATTGTTACCTGTTGAAATAAAAACGCACGATGAAGAACTAGTCTCTGACATAATTTAAGAATTAAAAAGCGATATAAAATCGACGCAAATTGTGCGTCGATCACTTTTTATCTCTTATTTAATGTTTATCAATTACGATCAATGTCGGTTTTAATGTCTTCATATAATATTCATAAGCGTTAGTAAACTTTTTGCAATCAGTTTGACATTAATAATAAATAATAAATTATTATAGAGAACCGATGATGTTGTATCACGAGCAAAATGTCCCAAAAATAAAAATTAATTTGTCGATTGTATCAAGATAATGAAAATAAATCAATTAAATCTTCTGTAAACATTGAAAAAGAGTACAATTTCGAAATTCTATTTTAAATTTGAGATTATATTTGCGTATAAATTGATCATGTCTTATTTTTTCAAAGAAAGTAAATAAGCCTGTTTTGAGTCGTAACACAGGATGTATTGTATGTAGAAGCAAATTTTTTGTTTATTTAATAAAAGTCTTATTTTAACAGAATTATTGATATTCTGGATATGTCCAGCAACAAAATAAATCTAATAGTTACAATAGATTATTTTAGATTAACATAAATTATATAATTTACATTTAAATCATCAATAAATGTAAAAATTCAGAATTGAACGCTACTTAAAATTAGGAAAAAAACATTTTGGAATATATTGGTATTATATTGATGCGCACACAAATGAACTAATAAATAATCTATTTAATTCTGCAAATTAATTTTTACACATATTTTTGAGAGCTTTTAAAAATGAAATGTAAAATTCACGAACATAATGATACCGAAAAATTAAAAAAGTAGACATAGAGATTGAATCGCAAGATTATACAAACATGTCTGATTGAGCAAAATTTTAGAAAAGTCTCAGCAATATATCAAAGATGAATTATTGAATTAAGCAAATATTTAAAAAAACTTTGTAAAAAGAATGTCGTAAATAGTTTGAATGCCGTATTTTAAAGAATGAAAACTTCTCTGCAAATGTAAATGAAATAAAATGCATAAATATGTAATAGTCTCACGATTATTCAATGCAGAGAGTAAGAGTTACAAAAGATGTTCAAATCCTCGCCTTTGCTGTACATTCAATCTTTTACCTCTGCCATTTCCATTTTCTGACTGTATACTTAATTTTCTTTCACTTGCCTCCTTTCCTCCTTTCTCAATTTCAAAAACGACAAAAATGAGAACGAGGAACATATCAAGATGATCTTAGACGATTTGCGCGTGAAGTTTATGAGAGTTTTCATCGTGATAAAGCGAGTGTCGATATGAATATGCGTGTATATAATGTTAGACATTCAATATTAGACTTTTTTTTATTAACAGTGATTCTTGACTATTTTTTTAATATTTATGTTTTCCAATATTAAAATTATTAAGATAATTGGCAAGAATTTAATCGTCAATAAATATTTATGAGTGTATATAAAAATATATTTCAAATATAATTTTACAATTATAATTCATTAAATATTGTCTAATATCGATATGTTTGCACGTTACGTGTGTTATTAATGTGACAAAACGTTTTATATTATACACGCGTTTAAGTAATTGTTGAAATTGTAACGCGCGCGGCTACTCTCGTATATATCATAGAAGATATATTTATATCAAAAGTTAGGAGTTTGTTGGCTGTACCGTCGAAGATTCCAGCGTAGAGTGACTTCACGCTGTCGTAGAGGCCCAATCGTATGCTGGCGAAACACATCTGTCTCTGGAGTCCCGCGGACAGACCTCCGTACAGGCTCCTGTAACCACCCTCGCTCAAGCACACCGCCCTCACAATTCACCCTCAAACTCGTTTTCAGGGTATCGTTTGTACACATTTCTCTCTCTCTCTCTCTCTCTCTCTCTCTCTCTCTCTCTCTCTCTCTCTCTATCTCAATGGTTTAAAAAAAAAATATTGTTCGCTTTTTTTACGCAAATATTGCGTAATTTTTCCTTTTTTTCTCTTCGTCTTTTTCCTATCCGCGCAATTTTGCACCTCATTTTTTTTCTACAATATAGATATCCTACATATTGAATGCTTTAAAGCGAAAATCAATATTACTCGTTAATGAAGTGATTTACAGTTCGAAGACGCGCGAAAGAAAAGAAAAGTAATTCGAGAGCTGAGAAATAACCAAGAGAGAGCGTGCATTATTTGTCACGTTCATCGCGCATTTTAATGTTGTATCATATTCAAAAATAGAGAAGAAGAAGACACCGGTGATTAGGAAAGTAAATGAACTATATTAATATAGATATAAGTATATAGACAAAGTAAATGAAATAAAATCAAAAAGAGAAAGTGAGAAAGAAAAGAGAGAAATTACGTGAAAACTTAAGAGAAATATATCGCGAAGAGATAAGTATAAGAAGGATAAGCAAGTTGTCTTTCAAAATTTTATAAGCAGTTTTATTGGAGAAATGACTATCAGAAGATATAGAAAAAAATTTCGTGACATTTATGCGCCGTACAAAAAAGTTTACGCGAAGCATCACGTATCCACGTTTGTACGTATCAATTGTCATTCTTTTTATTGTACAAATTAATTGGAAATTTATAAATATTTTGTATAAAAGAAACGAAACAGAACGGTTTGATTAATTTTTCGAATAAAGATTTTCGGAAAAAGATGCGAAAGACAACCCGTGCAGAATAGAAGTAAAAGAATAATCCGTAAAAGTAATAAAACAATAAGAGAAATTGATACAAGAAATACCATTGACAAGTCTTATTAAACTTGTACTTGTTTCGTTTTATATATTTCGATCTTCATCAAATATAATGTGTAATTTTTGGAAAGTAGTTGCATTTCTTTATCTATTTTGCTTATGCAAAAATTGTTTTTACATGAGTGAGCACTCGTCCATGGCATCTGATTAGAGGACGAAATAAAAATCATACTTATTCGGAGATCAATCGTAAGAATCTAGAAAGTTTTCCAGAACAAGTAATTATTGTACGTACATGTGCCAGATGTCGAGCAAAATTTTAATGAAAACACGATAAGCCGTAAATATTTCCTCACCGATCCTTTCTTTACTGACAATACAGGAAAAACAGTTAAATAAGTTATTTAAATAGTTAATTAATCAGTACACATCGCTTTTTTTAAATAAGGCTTTTCTATATAAATATAAATGTCTATTATAAATCATTAAAGTATTAAAATAAATATAAATAAGTATTTTTTATATTTAAATTGAACACATAATTTGTGATTACTTATATATAAAAATTTTTAAGTATTGTACATTTAACAAATTGTATTCTGAATTAATTTTTTTATGGTCAGTATATTTATATGTAATTTAATTAATAGACAACAAAAAAATTAATTGGCTTAATCTGGCACACGCCGAAACAAGAAATCTGGTTAATAATAGTTTGTGTATTACCGCAATTAAAAAAGTACCGCATGTTATTATTTCAGAGAGAGCGACAGTTGAATATAAAATAGTTATTATATCAACGAGCGATTGCTCTATAAATATTTTCTATAAGCTTTAAATTGAATTATCACTCTTAGGCAAGAGGAAATCCTGCATTTACAGATTCCGTATATATTACAATATTATGTACAAATATTAATAGCGCAAATAAAGTTGTTCTACCTACCACCGACTTTTAAATTACTATTATGATAACGAACAACGTACCTTGCGCCTTCATATCTGACGATGTTTGCGACGGTCTGGAACAATCCTGGCTGGCTCGTTCTTACTGCAAAGACCGATCCTTCCGCTGATGCCAGCAACAGAGCTTGGCCTTCTCCCGCGATCTTGAAGAAAAATCATTTCAATCGTATTTCAAAGAAATAATTCGATTTCTAGAAAAGTAGGTGAGTAAAAAGACGCAACGAGATAACACGCGATTATTTCGAAGGATATAATTCAAGTGCAATTATTATTACTTGGCTCACCTGCATTCTGACTTTGGCGGTGTCCAACGGAAAGGTGGCTAAATCGGCGATGCAGGCCGCGGTGCCTGCGGTAAGTAATTTCACGCCAAGTGAAAAGTCGTCCGACATTCCTTGCTTCATGATTTCCGCTGTTTGGTCACTCTTTTTCTCTTCCAAGATCTTTTTCCCTCTTATTACTGCTGATGCGTGCTGTTAAAAGTGAGCGTGGATGCCTCGTGAAGGATGGTGCAGGATTCTTGGATAAATTGGCTAATTTCTTCCAGCGTGACAGTAATTTTTCCCTTTTGAACTCGCTCGTTTCCTTCCAGCGGGATTTCTTTTTATTAGACAAATGATCCTATGTACACTATATACAAAGTCCTACCAGAGGACAAGAACCTTCAGATGTTCATGGATTCAACTGGTGTTCTTAAAGGTACGTTTCCCTAAAGTGATCGGGATACGCGTGGAGCCCTCCCGATCGTGAGCACTCGTGTTTGATTTCTTGATGGTGAACTTCTTTATACATACTATTCTCCTGTGAACAAACGATCGCAAAAGAACGCCATACAATATTCTGATACAAAAAAACAATTCATTCGATGCGAACGTGATCGACTGTCGCCGCTAAACTGACAGCAGCTGCTTTTATCCCACGAGAGAGTGAGTACTATATAGTGCGATTCTACAAAATAAAGCGGGTGTACTCCGATTCTGTAATTCTTTAACGGCAGTGTCGGTATCGTTGTAGTTACGCAGATATTATATACCTTATACAGTATCATAACAAAGCTGCCCTAATGATAACATATCTAATTATCATTAAAAGTTACAGAATCGAGGTACATCCGATAAGCGTAAAAGTATATCGCGTCGCGACCAAAGGTAGCATATTCAATTGCGCATGAATCGAAGATCAATGATCGTTGAAGAATTTGTCTCGAGACTATTAATCAGCGTCAAAAATCCACTCTTATGTGAATATATCGTATTATCATCTTGAACCACGCACACGCGGCGAAATCCTGGAATATCTGGATGAGGGCTATCGAGCCATTGTAATGATATACTGTAATATCGTTAATCGCTCATCGCGATTGATAATTGGCAAGATCCGTCTGCCGGCGTCTTTATCACTTGGCACGTGCCTCTTAATTACATTGACAACGGGTTTCCCACGATCGTGTAGAAGTATAATGTAGAAGCGTCGGGCGTATTCTCGTTTCTGCCCCCCGGAAGAGTCTTGGCCGGATACCGAAATAGACCGTCGTGAGGAGAGAACTTTGATCAGCTTGGTGACTTGCCAATAACGAGGAGAGAGGCTTAGAGATCGACGTCTTTATTTACAATTATAATCAACTCGTTTAAACGATATGTATATTTTTTGTATGAATATATCTCGTCATTTGCGACTTTGGTATCGTTTGTGTTTGGATACGGTGTTATACATAAGAAGTCGCAAAAATAATTGGAGTCGCAATGCTAGCAATATGTTTATATTTTGTTTCGTCTAGATGTTGAAATATAAATAAGTAGATTAAATAAATGATAGAGGGTTCAAAGAACGCGACGAAGCGTGATCAGCAGACTTTGTTCGATTATTTTACTTCGTAGAATAATGTTTATTGAATATCAATTGCAACTAGTTGATCTGTTAGTTTAAACGAACAATTATGCGGTAAAATTAGTGCATCGTGAGTATGCAATTATTCACTCAATATGAGGAAACCGTCGCATCAGCAAACTTCAAGACTCCACATTTTTTTAAAAAATTCAAAAGAGGGGCAGAGAGAGAGAGAGAGAAAGCTAGCATCATTCGATGTGATCTATTAGTATTCTATTCTTTCTTTGATTTTGTAAATGAGTTATATGAGGACTACTTGATTGAAATCCCGTTAGCTAGCTGATTACGCAATAGACGAACTGAAAGTTCCAGTACATAGTCCAACAATCGCGCTCGTGCGTTTTGAAATTTGTTAATAGAAACTGTGAGAGAGAACAAACGTCATCATTCTCATAAAGAACACAGTGCAAAGTCCACGTTGAATTATTTTCACCGCATGACGAATTAAGGCATCGCGTTGGTGCCGTGCCTCCGCAACGTCACATGCGTTTATCATTGCGATGGCAGAGTTTTTTCGAACTGTCATTGAACTTCATGTTTTTAGATGCTTTTATGTTTTGAATTTGGACTTAATAAAATTTGCTGAGACTAGAAGTTATTCGATAAATTATTTCGAAGTCATTTATTTTTTATATCATATGTAATTTTTATTATAATTTTAATTTTGTATAATTTAATTTTGTTACTGGCATAAATTGAATTTAAAAAATTCAGATTCTTTTTTTCAATTACATATAAACAGTTAATTTGCTTGTTGCTATCTTTTTAAAGAAATCAAGATAGCCTTCAAAAAATGCAAAACTTTTGTAGTATCCTTGCGAGAATACACCGATATGAAATGAAAGGTTTGTATTGATTTTCCTTATCATATATTTGATAAAAAAAGCATGGAATATATATGTACATATGAAAAGAATTGTGAGATATTGTCAGCATTCTTCTCCAACGAAGAATTTTTTTCATCATTATGTAATTTATAATAATTAAAATATATGTATGTGTAATATATATTCATAGAAAAATACCGTATTTAAATGTTAATTATTTGTTTCAAATATTTCAAAAATTCATATATATCAAACAAATATATCATTACAAACATTAAATTTATTGAAAATATATTTTGAATACTAATAATAAAATTTAATACTTCAATCAAGATCATTAAATTAAAACAAATCGATTTTTTTATTATATTAGGTGTTGGAATTAATTCGTAGCGTTTTTAATGAAAGAATGTTATTTATTTCACATGAGCATTAAAAAATACATTAATGAAAGTACTTCCCATCACTTGTAAAACGCTACGAATTAATTCCAACAACTAATATAAAATCGCTTCTTTGATAAAATTTTAGAATATTTTTCAAAAAAAAGATAAATTTTTATTTTGAGTACATAATAATAAGTTTTCTTTAAAACGTGTAAGTAAGTATATAAGATTATTATCAAAAAATATTCTTTGTTAAAGATAACCGTTGAAACTTGAAAGAAAAAGTCAATTAAGTAATAATTTTTTTGATAATAGAATGACACTTTTCTGCGTATAAATTTTGTTTTAATGTCAAAACTTTAGTTCGTGTTTCTTCTCTCCTTTTATTTTTTCGAAATATATATAAAATTTCATAAAATCAATTTACATAAAATCGCAATTCAATTCTTCTTTTTATCATTGCTTGATTCAATCGGATTATTTCAGTCTAGGTCAAGTTCGAGCTCATGAATTATTTTTCGAAGAACTCTTCGCTTCAAGTCGTCGCGAGAATCGATGGATGATAACATGAGTCATGTGCGATGAAGTAAAATGAAAATCGCACGCGAAAATACTACCAGCTTATTTGCCATATATGTATGCGGAGTGGGCGTTTTGGAATCGATATAATGCGAACACAATGCATCACGAAACATAGATGTAGCGTTTCTAATTTTCCGTCATTTATCTTCCACGAAGTAGAATCTCTCCTCGAACATTTCAGCGCGACTAGCATCTCGCTAAAAGTCACTGACTCGCAAACATGTTTTTACATAAAATGATAGTAACTGGTACGTGGGAAAACTTCTGGTTGCGATTTACAACTTGAAAAGAGAACAATTCAATTTTTTGTACGTTACGAATAACGTTGATCAATGCTAATTGTAATTAATCGAATATGTGCTATTTATTTCGTAGCCATTATTTTGTATTATATGCAATTAGCTATCGCGTTTTGCGGATTCGATATGATAATCGCAGAATATCATTTACAATCCAAATGTGTGCAGTTATTGATTTTCCAACGAATGGTTAAATCCCATGATAAAATAAAGGTAGGATATGCCAGTCGCACACAGTATAATATTATACTGTTGTCGCAATGTAATCATTACTTCAATATCTGGCTATTGACTCGTAAGGCACAATTAGTTTTAAAAGCGTTAATAAAACGCGACGAATTTGTCTAAATACTTGCTAATAAAAGGATAATTTTCTGTCTAATGTAATTATAGTATTCTTGATAAACGTAGATAATAACATATAGTAGATAATGGTGAGTCATAAATGCTTTGAAATTTCGTGAAGGTGTTCCTCATACATAAAAAGGAAGAACAAATATTCTTATGAATTAACATTAGATCGCAAACGCTTCTCGTTATCGAAATAATGGACAAATACAAGTAGTATCAAATAATGATTTGATTTAAATTTAAAAGTTTTAGATATTTTTTTATTTACAAAAGGCACTCAAAATGTCCATAATTTTCCACACATGTCTGAGCAAGAAAATTTAATAATTACATTTGTTCTTCCTTTTTATCCAGGAATATGAAATTTTAAGACATATTTATGACTCATCTGTATAATACATTAACAAATCAAAAGGTTTTTCGGATTTGATGAGGAAAATAAACATTTGGTGAGGTAAATGGAAATTATACGTAAATTGAAATGAAAATAGCAGGATATACTGTTTAATTGCGCAGCGTTAACGAATTAGCAAATTGTAAAAAGGCAAGAATAATAACAATATAAATCGCAGATCACTTACCAAGTGTACAGTAAGTAGGTAACAACACAACTGAAAGGAGTTGCGAGAAAGCACCGTTTATACCGGCTCGTCGACCAATGGAGGAAGATCAAAGTCGATGCCGCCCAATGGATAGTCGTTCATGGCGTCATTTCCCACCAAAGAACGCTGAGTTTGTGAAAATCGATAATTTCTAGCGCGATGGCGGTGAATGACGGTCGCGATCAGCCGGGTGGCTTCTTCGCGAGGGCGAGCCCGCAACCCTTTACGGGGATGTCGAGAGAATCAAGTTAAAAGAACGTTTGATAGCAAATTGGATTTTCTGTCAAGAAACAAAAAAAAAGATAAGAGAGAACAAGAAATACATTAATGAAAAAAGATAAAAGAAAAAGGGAAAGAAAAAAGTTTTCACTTACCCTGAACGTTAAATTATGTTCTTAAAGCTCGATTAAATTGAGCGAATCATCCGTCTCGCGTATTTTATTTCCAACTCATGCAACAAAGTTAAATATATTTAATGATATTTCGTGACGTTAGCTGCTTGCATTTCAAAGGCTTTAAACAATACACTTGTAGCGTATACTCGTAACGTTGCGCAATAAAAACATTGCCAATTCTTATGTAATAGCATCATATTGATTTTGACAGATAATACAAAAATACAGAACGTAAATAATTTTTAACTACTGTAAATTTTTAACTGTAATTATACTTTTGTACTTATTAGTGGTTTTTAATGCTTTTTAAATATTCGTTTATCTTCTACGAGGCGTAAATTCTTTATCTGTGTAAAATGTAAAAAACATATCTATAAAGTAAATTTAATGTTATAGATATATTTGAAATACATATATCCAACTTATAATTTATCATCAGATATACAATAAATAATTAGTTAATTAAGTCTTTTAGAAGCATTTATGTGTTAGACATATTAAATATCTTTATGACAGCAACAAGTTGCATATTTTCATCGCTTTATCCAATCCGGTTGATTGGAACAATACGTAACACAAGCTGTTCTCGTACTTTGACCTTTCAATATCTCTTAATAATTTATTAATATTATACATCATTTCAAAAACTTTTATATACGAGCTATCATTTAAATATAAAAATATTAAAGTGACCTTTAATTTTATTACAGTGTAACATAATAATTTTTTACTAATTTTTTAAATTTACGCTTCAATTCCGAATATTCTTTCTTACATCTAATAACTTGAAACAATTAACACACAATTACAAACATAATTTTTGCTTTTTAAGTCTCAGAAAAAGTAAATTAAAAAAATAAGACATTTAAAATTTATTAAGTATTTATTGCTTTTTGATAAAATTATTTTACAATGGTAGAATTACACAAACGTCTTTATATATTTAAAGAAAATTGTCGTAGGAACATCCTTCAAGGATAAGAGTAGAGACTTTATATAATCTCTCTTTGCTCAGTTGTTTATAAACAAGAAAGTTTAATTATCGGATTTACTGTAATAGCAGTATTCATATTTGGTTCTTATTTTCAAAATTTTTAAGCACAGGATTAAGATGTCAATTACAAAGCTGTATTAGCATCTTAAGATATAAATTAAGACATCAATCTTGAAATAAGAATGGATTATGAATACTGGCCATTATTTAAAAATTTATCATAATTAAGTTAATTCTTCTTCTATTTGTTAAGTCATTTATATAATTATTTACATCTAAAGACATGATACATTTAAAGACTGATTTAAAAAAAGAAGAAAATCAGAAGACAATTTCAATGAAAGCATTGTCAACATTCAGGAAACTATAATTTCATCATATTTGTACTTTGTCCAAGTGTTCATTCATATGAATTTCGGCTGTCTTTGGGCTTTGGCTGTCTGTGCATTATTATTCGTTTTGATGTGCTTACTTATATTGAGGACACAATTGCCTTGCCACTTGAAATTGTATCGGAGAAGGCATAAGAAATGAGAAAAAGGAATGAGAAGAAAATATGAAAACGCATTTGTGTCTCCATGCGATAAATATGTGAGCAGTTTAATAAGTCAGCGACTTTTTTAAATTTTATTTTGAAACTAAAATTTGATTAATTTTTTTAAAAGTAGTTTTTTCAAAAAGTCGCTGATTTATCAAACTATATCTTATAAAAGTGAAGTAGATTGCAAAATACAAAATACTCGCACGAGTCGTACGTGAATCTAGCAGAATATATCACAATAAATATCGCGTTGACCATGTCATCGCTGAGCGATTCAGGTGTCAGCGAATGGCGATAATTATCGCCACGCGGCCCTCATCATGTGTCTAGCCATCGCTATGTACGCCGCTACTGGAGCACTTAGTATAATTCAGCATGTCTTGTCGATGATCGGCATGTTCCTGTTAACTTTATTGGGTAGAGCGATTTTGTTAATCGGTAACACAGTAACAAGAGATCACACTTCGAGGAGACGCCGAATTATTAGTGAACAACAAGAATCATACACCGATTCTGAAGACGATCGTGTTACTAGGAGTGAAACATCCTTGAAATCAAGGCACTCCTCTCGAACTCCTATAAAATCTGCTAGCGCACAAATGAGTGAATCAACTTCTATTTCCATCTGACACTCGTCAATTGGTATATTTCTTTAAATATATTTCTTAATATTATGATCGGTATTCATAGTCCATTATTATTTCAAGACTATCTTAAGTAATGTCTTAAGATACTAATATGTGGTAAAACTATACTTACAACAAAGAATTGACTTTGAATACCGTCCTATGATGCTTTTATTTATAGTCAGCGTGCGCAAAGTAAATTTTTCTCTTTGTCATCATTTTTCTACGGTATATTACTTTTGTTACTTTTTTCAGATGTTGATTATGCAAGGTGTTACACAAGAGAATAGCGTTGACAATTGTACCTTCAAATATTTAGAAAGAAACATTTGTATCTGCAAAAATGTAACTGCTAACAGTTATGTAAATAAATTACTGTAAAAATAATTCCAAAATAATTACATAAAATTGCAAAAGTATTGTATATATAAATGATTATATTTGCTTGCTTCAATTTCTACGTGATATTTCTTTGTCTTTATCTGGCACTTAACTTAAATTGCTTGTCAAATGTATTGACCGATTTATTTTTATAGATTTATGGAAACAGCAGCATCTCATTCGCTTGGTTTTACGAGATTTTATTATAACGATCTTAAAATGAATTTTATATTTATTGGTATCACCTTTATGTAGTTATTCTTTAATACTACAATAAACATAATTTTACTTAATTAACTTATCTTTAAAACAAAACTTTATTAGATGCATTGACTAAAGATAAAAGCTTTAATCCTAATCGCTGTTCTTTGATGTATTTGGAAATTAATCACAAAAATATTAGCAATAGGAGCATAATAATTATATTTTTCAAACATGTGAAATATAATATTACAATAATTTCAATAACAAATATTTAATATTATAAGAAAGCTTATATATATATATATA